AGTGCTGGAGCTTTTTTTTTTTTTTCTGACACAAATAATGCTACAGAGCAACGTGGAGATCTGAAACATGTTTACATCATATCTGTTGTTGAAGAACATTCTTTTCACTTACTGAGTCCGCCGATCACTATTCCCAGGGAACCGATATTGGCAAAACCACAGAGAGCGTAAGTGGCAACTGTCTCAGAACGTATCTGGAAATAAGCATAAACACAGAGATGTGCACATGGTGTGAGCCAGCTTAGCACATCTGACATCCTAACTGGGCTTCCTAGTCTGACCATGGAATCAATATCGACAAATAAGCGTTCAGTGCATGATGTCAAACACCCGTTGCTTCCCAGTGGGACACCTGTTTTTTCCATCTCCCCTTGAATTCTGAGGGAGGGGTAGGGGCTGTGCGGATTCAGAGACTCTCCATGAAGTTCTTGGAATTGGTAGTCTTGGCCTCTACAAATGCTGTTTTCTGCTGAATGATAACTTTTAATATCAGTATGACCCGACCACCTGCTATATAGTGTGTCAGGCAGAGTACTAGCTGCGGAAGATACAAAGTTCATCCCAGAAAATACTTGCATTACATTTATTTGACAAGGGACTTATTCAGAATGTACAAAGAACTGTTATAACTTGTTAAGAAGACAAGCACTCAATAAAAAAGGAGATTTCACGAAAGACACGCAAATGGCCAAGATAAGCACATGAGAAGATGTTTGGCATCATTCGCCACCAGGAAAATGCAAATTAAATTAAAACAATACGCTACCACCACACATCCCCTGAAACGGCTAAAGAAGATGGACAACACCACATGCTGGCAAGGATGTGGAGCAGTTAGAACTCGTGTACATTGTTGGTGGGAATGTAAACTAGCACAGCCTGTTTGTAAAATACAAACATACTTGATGGTTTCTTATCAAATTAACATACACAGCCTGTACGACCCAGTAATCCCTCTCCTAGGCATGTTCCCAGGAGGAATGAAAACATACGTGCCCGAGAAGATTGTACGTGAATATTTATAGCAGCTTCATTCATTAATAGCCCCAAGCTGGAAACAACTCAAATGTCCAACAGGCCAATGGGGAAACAAAGTGTGGATTTCCATAAAATAGAAAACTACCCTGGAATAGAAAAGAAAAAACTAACACATGGCACCAACATGAATGTTGAGTCCATTTATATGAAATTCTAGAGCAAGCAGAAGTGATCTACAGTGAGAGGAAGATCCGTGGCTTCTTAGGACTGGGTGGGGGTGGGGGGTGGGGTGGGGCTGACCTCGCTGGCCAGGAGGGACGCTTTCTAGGTGTGATGGAGATGTTCCGTATCTTGATTGTGGTCGTGGTTACGCAGGTGACACATTTTTCAAAACTCATGTGTACACCACAGTAGACCTTTTTTGTATGTGAATGACACTTCAGCGAAAAGGAATTATGCTAGTAAAAAGAAAGCTCACAAATATCAGACATCAGAGGGGCTCCTTTCGGTTGGCTGTGGTGTGTGCCGGCTCTTCTTTGTTGCTCAGCTCTGACCAGACCGGGGGGATATTAGGAGCACGTGTGGAAGTGGGAGAGTGGTCCTCTCACAGGGCGGTGAGAAGAGGGAAGGTGACTCCTTGGAAGTGTGAGCATGACCCTCCTTCTCTATTCTGACCGTCGAGAGGTGCTGCTCAGGCCAGATAATTCTTCCTCAGGCTGAGGGACTGGCGATAGGAGGCTTGGAAGATTCAGTGAGCTTGGCACAGAAATCTGGCAAACGCACCCACACAATTGAGGTAGCAATTTTCTTTTCCAAACTCTTGAATAATCTATGATTTGGTTCAAAGAACAAGCCAGGCCAACGTTACATTCAAAAGTAGTGGTGCCTTTGTTTTTTTCCTCTTCCACTAACTGGATTTTTAAAGCTCACAGTCAAGACCCAAGGGGTCATGGTAAGTTTTTTTGTTGATTATAAGGCTCCTCTTCTCTTTTTATAATTTCTAAGAACTCCTTTGTTGATATTCTCAATGAGCGTGCATAGAGTGGGTAGAAAAAAAATATTTCAAGTATTTGAGCAGTCCAGTTTTTGGAAAAGCTCATCCTTGTCCCCCACTCTGTTGAGTGCTTTCCATTTAGTTCAATTGGCTTCAAAAATAGGAAAGCTGATTAAGAGACCACGGGGAGGAAGACAACATAAAGTGCTTGAGATTCCTCTTTCCTTTTTCTGGGGATCTGCGGGAAGGGGATACACAGATGTGGCCATGTAGGTTTTATAATAAGAGGAAAAAGAGGCTAAGATGATTCCACTTTGCCTTTGCCCATAAATGCACAAGATTATGTGATGGAGAGAGCTGTACTGACTGCACTGGGAAATTAACAATCCATTTTACTGTTCTCCTTGTGTAGGAGCAGAGATGCCCCGTGTACAAGGACAGTCCCTGTAGCACTATTTCTAATTGGTAACAATCTTCATCAGCAAGGGGCTGGTTAAAATAAATTGTGATGTGCTCATACTGTGTCACAGGCATGGGTATGGAGAGGCATCCGAGATATGTTATCAAATACAAAGAGCAATGCTAAGAACAGTGAGCAAAATATGGAACAGAGAGAGGAGCTGAATGGCAGGGAAATGGGGAGGATGACTTACCTTTCCCTTTACACCTTTCTGTAACTTTTAAATTCTGTACTGTGGTATGTTTTATGTGTAAACAAAGAAAGAAACATGTAAAGTATTATCTTTAAGAAAGAGAAATGATGGAGTGATAAAGAGCTCATTCTAGGGACAATGTGCTACATACACATTCTGACCTCTTGGATGGAGGTCCCCGGTGGGCATAATTCAATGGATAAGGCTGGGGTTTTGCCTCAGGGACCCAGATCTTATGCTTCAGTCACGTGGTACCTTTTCCAGGAGATGTTGGGACACCACCACCACTCCTTAGTTGGTAAACAGAAATTGTAGGAACTCATCCCCATTTGGTTGATTGGAAATAGGAAATTGGGAGAAACAAAATGTTTCCCCTTTGTGACTCAACAGTAGCAGAAGCCGTTGAGCTCATACCTCCGAATATCCTCTGTGGTTCTGCCGCTGGCTGGGCTCACTCCCAACCCAAATCAGCTCCACTGTTCTGTTTCTATCCTCTTGATAACCTGTTCACAAACCTGCTTAGCACAGCCAGAACCGAGCGCTTGCTTTGCTTATTAACAAAACTGCTTTCTCCTGGCAACTGGCAGTTAGGGGTGGAAAACATTTCACTTAATTTAGCCTATTCTTTGCTGTTGGCAGAGAAGCAAGCTGGTTTGTGGTGGCATCCAAACAATGAGGACATTTGGCCAAGCTCCACTGCGTGGTCAGTGGAAGAATGAACATTTGAGAAAGAGGAGACCTGCAGAGCTGCTGTTCATATCAAATGTGTGGGTTGAAATGCCCCTGACCATAAAATTCAAGTCAGTACTCCCCTGGAGTAAGCTGTTATATTTGTGTAATATGTGGGAGTAAATTTGCGTTGTTTGGTGTTGGGGAGGCTGGGAGAGATGGTGGTGTTCAGACGTGAGCAGTCTGTTAGAACCTTGGACAGCATGCTTTTCCTCGCCTTTACTTTTAAAGCCGAATATGTGCATAGGACATTAATTCCAAATGGATTGTTTCAGTGAGTAATAGTGGTCATTGAAAATGTCCACCATTTCGCTAAAAGTTACCATGTGTGACAATTGTGTTCTTCAGGAAGGTGAAAGTTGGAGACTCAGCTGTAATTATGGCCTAAATAATGGCCTCACCTGAATTCCCTCCTCCCATCCAAGGCCAAGCAGACATGAGCATCTCCTTGCAGGCTATTGACCTGAAACCCTGATGTTTTAATTACAGGGTGTTTGTCTAAAAGGCCCAGAGGTTGTCTTCCTCCCTCATTCACTTGGAGAGTAGCCATTGTGTCTCACTGTTTCTTTAGGATGTTGGGGCACTATGTGGCACTTAGGCATTCTCTCAGAGTTCAGAGAATTCCTCCAATAGGAAGGAAGAGTCCTCCATGACGAGGCCTCATCCCTTATCCAACACTGTGGCCTCAGGACATAGCACAGTGCTCCCAGAAGACATTTTGTAAATACCTGTTGACTGATTGGTTCCAATCCCAGCTCATATGACTCTGGGTTTGTATCCACAGTGCTCAAAAATAAATAATCACAGTGGTAAGGATTAGCTGTCTTTCTCTACACACACACACACACGATTAACTCAACATAACCGAAAGTTACAGGGCACTATGTACATTATGAGCTCCATGAGACCAGGGACTTGGGGTCTGTTTTCTTCCCTGATGTACCCCCAAGTGCCTGGCATGGTCCTGGCACACAGAGGCTATTGATAGGATGTATGTATGTGATGCAGAATTGTATTGGGAAAAAAATGTACTCACCGACATATATTGCTGCACGCCATTCACAAATTTGGGTCCAGCCTCTTGCCTTAAATGGATCAATTTTGAGAGGTGCTGATAAGCCACAAATTCATTGAAGAATGTCTTATATCCTATGAGTTTGGCAACCATAAAGCTGTCTTGCCAGTCTACTCCCATCATGAAGGAAAAGGGCATGAAGATGTAGGAGCATATTATCTACAAAAACCCAAAATGGATACTTTATTAAGTAGTGCTTTGCTCCCGGTTTTCAGCCTCATGCTCACGACCAGGTTGTTCCCACCCGCTCTATGCCTCCTGTAGGCACAGAAATCCCTTCACAGTCTCTGGCTTGTCCATTAGGAGTCAAGGTTGAAACCGAGTCATTTGAAGTAGCCTGAATTTTGGGGGTCAGGAGAGGATGACTCTGCACTTGGGGGAAGGAAGGATGACAGGTCACAACAAAAGGTGGGTGGGAACATGAGGGTCTCGTGGTCAGTTTGTACATTGTTGAGGGGTGCATTATAGGAAAGATTTGCTATTCACAAATCTATTTTCTTTTTAATCAAAGATTGGCAGGAACAAAGTGGAGGAGAAACATGATAGAATTATACCTCAAAACTCAGTTGTGGGTAGTCAAACATGTTTCCAAACCAGGACAGGGCTGAATTCACAAAGGACAGCAGGGCCAGGAAGGCAATCAGGTTCACAGCAATGTTCGCCACCAGGGCAATGGATGAGGATGCTCCCTGCGTTGCGGCTTCTAGGAGATTCCTTGAATCACTTTATCAAAAAATAGCAGTTCCGGAATTACCACGGGGTTGTCGGCGGATGAACATCACAGGTGTGGAAATGGCACAATCTGAGCTCAGTCGAATGGAGAGACCCACGCCCTGGCCGAGATACCCGAATTCCATGGACTCATGAAGGGGGATTTATTCTTCTTAAGTGTAGGTGATGAGCATGCGAGTGTCTAAATGTTATACTACTCTTTTAATTTGGGGGCGTTTATAGTAAAAAAAAAATGGGAAAGGATAAAAATATTACAGGTTTTAACAGTTATATTTCATTGAAAGTAGCTTCCAGAGAATATTTGTAAAATATTCACTGTATAAGAACAATTCAAGCAAAGCCTGTGTATCCATCACCTCATTTAGGAAATGGAATATCACCTCAACACTGAGCACCCCCTCCTTGACCTCACCTTCTGTCAAGTCTCAGAGGTACTTGGCCCACTAGAATTTGCTTTATGATTCCCTTTTCAATTTTTTTCTCCCTAAATAATATATTGTGTAGGTTTACACATTTGCTAACTTTGTAAGTGAAATCCACATATTTCATAAATATCCTTTGGCAACTTGCTTTTTTAACTCATGGTTATGACTCTCTCAGCGTACAAACAAGGGATGAATATCAGAAACATGTTTGATGAATTCTGTTATTTAATGACATACTTTTGAATATCCTAAATCCTTTAGTATTTTTTTTACACCCTCCCATTTTTTTTCTTTCTTTTGAATGGGGCAAAAGGTAAATGAACCTAAGAGGAGTTAGAAATACCTACATCACATCTTATCTTCCCTATTAAATAAGAAACTTCCCGAGATGGTGATCCTGTGGCTTTCTAACAGCCTAAAATCTAGCTCAATGAACCCTGTGCTATATTTAAGATTAAATGTCTATGAGACTGAAAATAACATAATATTGCAATCCAACTATACTTCAATCTAAAAATAATTAATTAAATGAAATATCTACACTGAACAGTCAAGGCAATGTATTGACACTCAGGTATTGGTGTTTAGAAAGGTTTTTCTTGAGTTTTGAAACAAGATATTGAGGGGCTAAATAGTTCCTGGAAATTAAATTCCCTTTAATTCACCATGTTCTCTGATTATCAAATTTTTGCTGCAGTTTGAATTTGGACTGGAGCAACCCCCCACCCGCCAACCTTCTGCTCCTGTAGTCATTAACTATTAACTGGGTGAGTGTGTCCCACTTACCCACTTTCCATTTTCATGGCATTCTTGAGGGTTATTTTAGGTGTTTCTGTCTCGGGCCAAAAAAGTTTAGAAATAGCCAACGCCGCAGGTGCTGACATGACGGACGCAGTTAACAAGTGAGAGGATGAAACCTGTGATTTCAGGACAAAGAAGGCCAGCTTAGGGTTAGATTTCTCTTGTGTTCAGAATGAATGGCCCAAATGCCTTACAAGGGAGACGATGGGTAGGCACCGATTCTGTGCCAGAAATCAATGTTTATTTGGAGGCTTGGAAGAGTTCAGTGAACCAAGAGTCAGGCATCACTTTGAGAGAAGGGAGGCATTTGTGTGAATTGATCACATCCTTGGAGAAGCACAAAACCCGAATCTGACCATTTCAGAGGGGAATCAATCCTGTATTGTGGTAACTTACAAAGACGTTTCCTCAACCTTTCTGTTGTCCTTTCAAATATTCAAATAGTCCCCAAAGCTCATGTTTCATTACATCATCAATTTAGATAGTGGATTTCTGGGGGCGCAGGCTGGGTACACCCCTTTCCATTTTCCTTTTGCTCTCCTGAAGTCCTCTGTGCCTTTATGTGACTAATACTCGTTTATCCAGAGTCCCTTTAATCTGTTTAAGCTGTTTCTGTTTTCCTCATTGCAGGTCTACTTAAACTCGTTCCCCTTCCCTCCTCACATCCTTATTTTGTTTCTGGATTCTCTTCCCTACATTTTCAGAATTCTAGAATCCACGTCTTCCTCCCCATTCCCATTGCACCCAGGACATTTTTGCAGGCGGCGTTCCTACAGTGGGCAGCGTGGCTCGTCTGGGGAGACAGCCAAGCTGCTGTTCCTGAAGGCTCCTTCCTCCTTTCCCTCTTCCCTCTTCCTGCTCATCGGCTCTTTGAGGTTCGGGTGAAGTCCTGGAATGAAACTGGCCTATCTTGTAAGAACTCCTAGTCACCTGGACCACACAGCTGCTGAGCTACTCTGTTTCTCCACGGGGGGTTACCTCTACGTGTGCTTGGGGCACACGCACCAGTTATCATAACGTTCTTCAGCCCCATTCCTTAGACCACCCGCTCTCAAACTGGGCTGTACGTTGGAATCTGAGGACTAAAAAAAACTTAGTAATGCCTGGGTCTCATTCCAAGAGATTCTGTTTGAATTACTCTGGGGTACGAGCCTGGGCATCAGGGCTTCTAAAAGCTCCCAGGTGATTCGAATGTGTGGGAAGGTTTGAGAGCACTGCTGCAAGCCAGAAGTCAGAAAACATTTTCTGTAAAGGGCCAGAGAGGACATATTTTTGACTTTTTTGGGGCACAACTACCTCAACTGTGTCATGAAAGCTGCTATAGGGAAATTAATAGGAATAGCTAGTTTCCAATAAAACTGTAGTTACCTTCTAGATGTGGCCCGCAGGCCACAGTTTGCTGACCCCCAGCCTAGACTCTCTTTACTAGTGTTAGTAATAGTTATTTTATTATTATTTTTTTTGCATATTTACATTTTCAGCCAAGGTAACCTCATAATATGATTTCATTCTGCTGTGGTTGGATACAGTTCACATTTAGGTGGCAGGGATATGACAGTGAAGCATCGTAGCTCCTTGGGGTCACTCCATGCAAATGTCACAGGAACTGTGACCAACTATATAGCAAAAAGGACACTCTTTTGGCCTCCTTATCTGGCAGCAATGGTAAAGGGAAAACAGAAGTAACGATAGCAAAGAAAGAAGAGGTTGGACTTTCCCATAAATTCATCTGCAACGTTCTTACCCCAAAAGAGATGTATGCACCCAGGACGCTCCCAGCAATGGTAGAGAACCCAGCGGTCATGATCGCATGAAGTTCGGACTTGGTGACGTGTGGTAAATACGGTCGGACCAGCAGTGGAGACTCTGTCTGGAAGCAATGACCAGATTAAAAGCTTCCTTAGGAAGCGATGCCAGTCTGCTCAAAATTCCACTCTCTACAGCAGTACTTCTAAGAGTGGACCTCAGACCAGCTCCATCAGCATGACTGGGGACTTTCAGTCAGACACGCAAATTCTCAGATTTACTGAGTCAGAAACTCTGGGGATGGGTCCAGCAGTGGTGTTCTCATAAGCCCTCTGGTGGTGCTGATGTGTGCTCATGTTTGAGAACCCACACCCCCAACGTCTGGGTCATTTGGACTTTAGGTCAGTGTGCATACAGAATCGTGTGTGAAGTTTGCAAGGCTGATTCACATAAGGCCCCCGCCTAGCCTAGGACTGGACTGTGATGGCTTGATACTCTTTTCAAAGGTTGGAATGCCATTGGCCAAGTTACTCTGTCCAGTGGCCTGGCCTTGGGGGCTGTGGTTCCCCAGCCTCTGTGGCTTCCCATCTCCCAGCTTCATCTCAACAGACCCTAAGTTTCTTTGCTGACACCATAGGGAAACAGAGACACAGGTGTGAAAAAAGACCAGCAACAACAAGGACAGGTGCCCACAGGCCGTTTCCTAACTGAGAATCAGAGCCCCCTCTCCTCCCCTTGTGGGGAAAGGAAAAGGTTGGAGCATGGTTGTAAAGGCTTGAGTCCCATTAAGGAGGGCAGGCAGCCTGCAGCATGGGGCTCTCCATAAATAGTAGCTGTACTTTTAGCATATTAAGTATCAAATTGAGCACCACAGAAGCATGTGTGCAATTTTACAATTTTCTCCTCATTATTTCTAATTGTTTTATAAGATTGCCTGTGTTGAGCTTCAATTTATGGACTAAATAGAAACTCAGTACATGAGCCCTCTTACCCTGCAGGTAGGAGTAATCAACTCAAGACGGTGCCCTAATTAGTCCTGAGAGATTTTATGACTATAATTATAACAATTTCAACTCCTAAGGAAAGAAGTAGGGGCCTCCCTCTAAAGACTCTGCTCCAGGCTAGAAGGCTGGGTTTAGCAATAAGAAGGCTCAGCCTGCCTGGAGCAGTTGTAAGCCTAGGATAGGGGGCCACATGTTTTTCCAGGCGACTTGAGTTTTGCTTCAAATTCAATTTTCCTTGAGCAGCCATGCTAGCAAGTATTCATGCTCGGTTCCCTTGGTGTGTGATTCTGTGCTGCCTGAAGCTGTACATCCTGAGTGATGAGGATGTCAGGAATGCTGCCATTCTGAGGGACACCCCTTGGCAACTTATTTCTTCGCTTAAATGGGCTTCAGGCAAAAGAGCATTTATTCCTGCCATGGGTGAGGAAGGTGAAAATGCTTTTGCTCATCAACATTTTTCTTCAGGCTCAGCAGAGATTTTGGCCAGTTCAGATAAGTTGAGAATGAGCTTAAGTATTTACGCGGCTGCTTGGTTGTTGGTGGAAAGCCTTTCTTGGTCTCTTTGCCACAAGTGTTACACTGCAGAATATGAAGCTGCCCGTTTCATGTCTGCAGCTTAAAACAAATGGGGAACTCCATTTGAGTGATGAGCTGCTGGCCCCTGCTAGCCAGAAACCTCAACAATTCAGTTAATTCAGAAAAGACTGGTTGAGAAGTTGTGTATGAGAAGCCCTATGCTTTGATAAAATGATTCAGTCTCTCGTCCTCTCCGTAAACTTCTAAAAACCTAAATTCCACATTAGTGCACGGAGACTCTTGGAAGGGCTCTCTCTCTCTCTCCTCGGAATCTGGATGTTGTCAATATTGAGCGTTCCTTATTTTGACATCCTCCACTCCTACACTAAAGGAAATACTCTTTCTGGAAAGAGTATCCATTTAGCAGTTTGTTTTGTTTTTTGCTATGACTACTTACCTGCCCGACAAATATATTGCCAGAAGCAACTACAGATTCAACAGGAGATGTTCCCATAGTCACTAGCATTATCCATCCAACCTAAAAGGCAAAAAGGGACAAAGTCAGTGAAGAGCTATTGGTGTACATGGAACTTCAAAGTAGGGATAAAAATCTTTAAACTGAAGGAAAATACGGAGTTCTTCACCAGTTGTACTTAACTGGAGTATACCTCATATAGTTCATAGAGCAGGTCGATCAAATGCTCCTATTGGAGTGGTAAGTCTGAGTCTTTGTGTAGGTACTTTGAATGCTATACAAATGAATGTCTATTGAAATGTCTATTTCATACAAGTAATGTCTATTGAATGTCTACTGTATACAAGTAACAAGTTATAATTATTGCTAATGGTCAGGACAATCTCCATTGCATTCCAGGCCCTTGTTCCCAGTAATGCGTTTAATCCCCACAATAACACTTTAAGGGAGGTCCTATGATTAGGCCCATTTTATAGAAGAGGAAACCAAGGCACAGAACAGTTTCATTGTTTTGTCAAAGATTGCCCAGCTAATAAACCCTGGATAAATGGCATTCAAGACTTCGTCCCTGAAATAATCAGCTCTAAACTTGTCACCCACTCTCTTCCAGTCCCGGTACCTTTCTAACGATCCACTGCATCAGTCCGAGGTAGTACAACATGGACATCACAGTGCTGAAAAAAACCACGATGGGCAGGACCTGGAGGTGGGAGGCAAGAGCGACCATGGGTTAACGTCAGCCCCAGCAGTATCAGGAGTAGGTTTCAGATCAGTGTCCCTCTTCCTGCCTCCTTCCCCACCCTGAAATGTTACGAAGATACTAGAAACTCCTCTTGAAGTAAGCAACACTTTTATCAGGCAACTTCCTCGTGTGCAGTCTCTTATTTTAATTTGTTATGGATAAGCTTGAGTACATTTCATAGGAAACGTGACTTTTAAAAAAAATCCTGCTATGATAAACTTTTCTTTAGAGAAGGGATGAAGTTTTGGGGAAATTTGTAATAATTAGATCTGGAAGCTGAAGTCCACAGGCAGATATTCTTGTTCTGATATTGAACAGACATGGGCTTCACTACTTATTAGCAGAGTAACCTGGGTCAAGATTAAGTGTGATTAACCTCAGTTCCTTACTCATGGTAATTACACGGTAGGTGCTTAAACAGTGCTTCCTAGGGAGCAAGCATTCATGCATTTAGCTTTCAGAATAATAACTGTTTTACTTACAGATTTTTGAAGCACTCTATATAAAGATTAGACTTTGGAAACTAGTTTACTTCTGTGTTAATAAAGGTTGCCTTTTCCTAGATTCTGTTTTCCTGATGCTCTTTGGATGCCTTCAGTGCAGCCTGTGTGTCTGCAGGGAGCAGTTTCTGCCCTGCAGAGACCAACCAGGGCTGTGGTCTGGGGCGCTCCTGACCCCCAGCCCATTGTTCCCCTTCCTCTCTGCTCCCAGCTAAACAGCCGGGGACAAGCTGCCACCAGAGACACAGAATGACCAAGGACAATTTGTACAGGATCTAATTTAGAAAAAAAAAATCCATTAATAATACATATTAAAAGACTCTGTGCTATTATTCAGAGCTTGCTCACTTATGTGCTTTTATTGGCTTTAATGGGCAGGCAATGCCTTCCCAAAATCTCCAGGGAGTTAAAGGGGCTCATCCTGCCAATGTTCCCACAGGGAATCTCCTTTGGTAGAAAGCATGGCAGCTACAGCCCCGAGGGAGAGGGCGGGGCTGGGTGGGGAGGCCTAAAGACACTGGTGCAGTCTGGGCAGCAAATTCCTCCATCTTTGTGATTTTATTTTTTCTAATTCTGGATCCAGTTCATGACAGATGCATATTTGTATCTCAGTTTGTAAACCCTTGATCTTTCAGAGATGGCTTAGTTATCTCGGCACCAAAGTATCAAGTCAGCAGTTTAAAAAAAGATTCAGCACAGCATTTGGCCCAACTGATGCCGAGGTAATCTGGAGGTGTATCTGGAGTCCCTGAGTGAGAAAACAATTGAGAAGTGTAGGAACAATAACATAGCACAAGAAAAAGAAATCTGAAGAAAAAAAACCAAATGCGTCTTTCTGACTCATCGACAAGTATTTATAGGGACTTCCCAGAGGAAGGTGAGCTTCTGGGGGGTCTTGGGAGGACCTGGGCATGTGGCCAAGTTGCCTTTCCCCTGGGAAATAGCATCCGTCCTTTGGTTGGGAGGTGCCCAGCCGGCAGGCCTGCCTGGGCGAAGGCTGTGCAGAAGGAAAGAGGGGAAAGGTTTAGCACGTGGTTGGCTCTGAAAGAACAGAGGCTGATGTGGGTGACCAGCTGTTCCGGAGGGTCTGGGATGAAGGCGTTTCCTGGGTACAGCGCTGTCACTGATTCTGGACTGGGAAGACATTGACGGCCACATGCCTCTTCTTTGCCGGATACCTAATGTCCCTTCTCCTGACATCTCAGATACTGTTACCCCTTATGATCTTACATAAGTATCTCAACAAACGCTACAAGACCTCCAGGAGCGCAGGCATCCCTTGTTTCATTTTGCTCCGCTTTGTTGCCCTTCTTGGATATTGTGTTTCTTACAGATTGAAGGATTGTGGCAACTGTTTGTTGAGCAAGTCTATCGGCGCGGTTTTTCCAACAGCATTTGCTCACTTTGTGCCTCTGTCACTGGTAGTTCGCACAATATTTCAGACTTTCTCACTATTACTCTATCTGTTATGGTGATCTGTGATCAGTGATCTTTGATGTTACTATTGTAATTGTTTTTGGCATTTTTTAGCAATAAAGTATTTTTTAATTTAGTACTTTTTTCAGACATAATGCTATTGCACACTTAATAGACTACAGTAGAGTGTACACATAACTTTTTTTTCTTTTTTTTTAAACATAACTTTTATATGTGCTGGGAAACCAAAAAGTTTCTGTGACTTGCTTTATTGCCATATCCACTTGATCATGGTGGTCTGGAACCAAATCTGCAATATCTCTGAAGTATGTCTGTGTTTCAGTATTTCTGACTTCCTCTAGATGTTTCACTTAATGCTACAGTAACAAAATAAAATGTTTTCAGTCCACTGACTTCAGATAAATTGTAAAGGAGAAGGGACGGTGACGTGCTGTGCCCCTGTGACAGGCCTGGCAGGTGTATGCCTGGTTTCTGGTCAGTTAGCTTCTATCTGAATATCTACAAAGAGAGAAGTTATTGAAAAGGAAGTCCCTTTGTAGAAAAAAAAGTTTGGCTTTACCTTAAATGCAAAAAAGTGGTCTGTATATTTCTCACCAAAGACGAACGAAGCACCAGCATCACTATACGCCAAGAATGTCTGAGTTAAAGGAAGGAAAAGAGCAGATCATTACAAGCACTGAAGTGGTGGTTACCATCCACAGGAGCTACCAGGCTCTGCAGAGGGTGGGGACCCAGAAAACTGGTTGGACAGACTTGGAGAGTTAATTTTCTCAACTTTCCCCCTGCAGTGGATGGCATGAAAGTGTATTTTGGAACTATAACGACATACAGATTTCCTGGCAGTTCTGACACTCAGTCTGACTCTAGGATGCTGAAGAGTAAGCCAGGTGTGGTAATTTGCTCCAGGAGCCATAAATGGTACACGGGTGGTACTAGGTACCACTGAATGCAAAGAAGTCCTATTTCACTGGGGAAACATCTTAGAAGAGAGACACCCTGAGGCAGGATGGGATAGGCAAGTGATATGGTAGATGATCTGGGTAAGGGACAATGGAATATTAATAAACTAGGCAGATTAACATATTCTACATAAACAAAATTATTTGTCTAACTCATGCTATGGAATTAAAACATGGGTCAACTCATGCTGATAGATAAATCTTTCTGGCGTGTCTTGAGGGTTATAGTCAAATGTCAAAAACACTGTAAAAACAACGTGTTCTTCTGAACCATACTTACCTGAACTTGTTTGCCCAACCAATCAAAAGCCATAAATCCAGGTTTAGTCCTTAGGATCAAAAGCCCAAGAAGAAACTGTATCCCAATTCCCCAAAAGACAGGCCTCCAGTAAACCTACACAGAAAGATGAAGACATAGATCTTATTAGAAAATGAACACTGACCTCAGCGTAAATGCCCAGAGGATCACTGTGTATTTTGGAAGTCTCTCAGACGTGGCCTGTGACCCACCTTCTTTTGAAGGCCAAAGCAATTGTGAGCAGAGAATCCCTCGATAGAATCATACCTAAAAATCTCAGGGTTGTAGTCCCTCTTCTTAAACTTGAATTTAAGGCAACAGTCCCGGGAGCATAGGTAACCATTTCGTCATGATAAAATCACTTAGACACAAAGCATAGTCTTAGGAGGGCCATGAAAGGAGGAAGGATCTGCCCCTCCCAGTTATGCTGTAAATATTAGATACATATAATCATTTCCCCCATCTGGAAAATGGAAAAGCAGAACATAACTTCTCTGCGTGCCCAAGGTTTGTTGATCTGACAATTTGTAAGTGAATTAAGTGAAATTCCACCCTTTTGAGGGGCTCTCATTTTACTGTAAGAGGAACCAATTAACTCTAACGCAGACTCGGGGTGTGCAGCAGTAATGGACCATCATCTGCTTTTGTTTTCGGTGCAGAGGTAAGTGGCCTGCAAAGAGCTATGGGATTGGAGGCACGGAAAACAGTGTGGCCGTTCACTTGAACAGGGCAAAGACTTCGGATAATATTAGGTGGTTTTGGTCTTCACTTAATGCTCTTTTCTTGGGTCAACCTTTTAGCCAGTAAAGTCTTTCAGAGTTTGCCATCATGAATCCTGTGTGAAAGCTTCACTGTCTCTGAATTCTTGCCCATGTAATGGGTTACAGGCTGACAGAACAAGGATGAGGATTGAGTTCAGTGGGGATGGAACTGCGTAAGGACAAATTTTTGGAGTAAAATAGCCTTAATGGCAAATAGCAGTTTGATAAACTGCAGAATCCAGTGGTAGAATATTAGATTATTTGCTGGTCTGCGGAAATCTGGATCAAAATGGATGTGTTTTCTTTATACATACATTTGATGGGGAAGGTGGGCTACATTAGTAGAAATTGTATCTGACAGGCGAGAATATTTCACTGGTTGAGCACCTGGAAAATTACTGAGACTGAAAAACGAGAGATTAACAGGACTATTCACGTTCAGGATGAAGGGCACTCTTGCCATTAAAATATCACAGCAAGGTAAGAAAAATATTGAATAACAGTTCAATTGTCTCATACTCATTATTTTGAGCAATTTACACATGAGGGAAAAAATAGGGAAAAAACCAAAAAAAAAAGGAATCGATCTCACACTCACTCTGGTTGGGTGCTTAGAAAACAGAAATGTCAGGATAGTGTACATGACAAGCCCTCCGAAGGACACGAGCTGCCGTTGGCCCAGTTTGGCGGTGTCCAGGATCAGCCAGAGCAGAACTGCCAGGGTCAGGGAGCCCCAGGTCACCCTGCAGGAACCAGAAGGGAGGCTTCGGCATCATTTGTGGTGTTAGCTTGAAAACCTTAATCAGGCTTCAAACAAACGGACAAAAAAATACTGTGTAACACACCCTGGCACCGGGAAATGATGCTTCCAGAAACTGCAACAAACTCTCTTTGGTTGTTGTGGCTACTATAAAGGCAAACAGTCAAGAAATTAAGCAATGTGTCCCCTCCCTCCACAACTCTTGGGCCCTTTGCCGGTTCAAGGATATTTAAAGAGGCTGGAGAGGAGAAAGGATGTTTGGAGAGGAAGTCTGGTGGTTTCTTTGTGAGAGCTACTGGGACTCCTCACCTCCGTTTTGGGAGACGGGTGAAGTGTTACCTTCTTCCCTTTAAGGAGAAACGTGAAATGTGTCTTCTGCATTGGGGGACCTCACCCAGGCCTCAGAGAGCTAAGTCAGACTGTAGATTGGGTTCTGAGTCCCTGGGGATCTAGTGGGCATGACAGGGCTGACTCACTTGGTGGCAGCGCCAGAGAGGATGCCCTGCTGGGATTGCACAACCCCGGTTTATTAGGCCAACAATGTGTAAACTTTCCTGGTGGATCCCATGTGGGCCATGCTTGGGAGAATTGGTCCTGAGTCCTACCTACCCCATAGGGCCACCTAGAGATCAAGGAGATACCACAGAGAGAGGCTGAAATTAAAACCGTGGCTATTCACCTGCAGGACGTGGGGTCCTACAAGGGAGAGTTGGCTTTAACAGCCCATAGACTCTTCCTCCCAAGGAGGCTGGCTTCACGCTCAAAGCAGAAAGTCACCTTTCTAAGCCAAAACTGACCCAACTTTTGGACAACAGTTTACCATTTAGTGATGCTTAAAATTAAGGCAGTTTGTAGGGACATTTGAGCACATCCTGAATGAGTCACTGCCTTATCTGGGCCTTGCTGTCCTGCTTGTAAAATGAAGACATTTTAAACAGATTATTCCCTAAGGTTCTTTCTAGCTTCAGTATCCCATAAATAAGGAAGCAATTTCAGAACAAATCTTTGGGACAGTATTGAAAAAAACTAACATCCCTCTCGACCGCAGTAAGAGGACTCTGCATTTACCACTTCAGCCAGAACCAGTGGCTGTCCAGAAGGCTTCTGCCAGGGGACAGGAACTTGTCGATCCGAGACTCATATTTGGCCATGAAGCGATCCCAGACCACAAAGAAGATGACTACCACTGTGATCACGAAAAGAGGGAGGGCTCTGTGGAAGTTCAGCACACAGGCTGCAATCACCAGAGCCAGGTAACCTGTCCAGGAAGCAAATGCAAACAGTGAATGTCACCAACATCGACTAGAGACCAGCCTCCAGCACTGATCTGGCTCAGCCAAGGGCAAGTTCAGTCAGGAAAACAATGAATATATATGCACATTTTAAAAATTGAAGTATAGTCGGTTTACAAAGTTGTGGTAATTTCTGGTGTACAGCATAGTGATTCATATATATATACCTTTTCATATTCTTTTTCATTATAGGCTGTAACTAGGTATTGGATATAGTTCCCTGTCCTAAACAGCAGGATCTTGCTATTTGTCTATTTTACACATAGTAGTTAGTACCTGCAAATCCTAAACTCCCAAATTATCCCTCTACCTCCACCCCCTTCCCCTGGGTAACCACGATTTTGTTTTCTATGTCTGTGAATCTGTTTCTGTTTTGTAGATAAGTTCATTTGTCTCATTTTTAAAAAGATTTCACATATAAGTGATATCACATGGTATTTTTCTTTCTCTTTCTGGCTTACTTCACCTAGTATGACAATCTCCAGGTCCATCCATGTTGCTAC